CCTAGGCATTGAGTTTGGCCACTGCACTGCTCATCTGTCATTGAACCGCGCCGACGCAAGATAATGCTTAGACTTATATTGTCGAGCTGGAAGCGAGGGCTGCCCTCTGTGAGACACTCCCCGCACCTGGTCCGTAACAACCCCCTACTGCTGCGCACTTTCAACTTGCAATGTTGTGGACTTGTTTCATGAAGAAAGGGCATGTCCTGCACTTGTCCCGCCTAAATAAGGTCTAAAGGGTAACATGATTTTTTGTACTGTACACACATGCGTATTTACTGGCTAAGTAAACTTAATAAATAAACAGCTAGTCACCCTCGATGGAAACTAATTTTTAAATTCTTGATTGCCAGCGAAAAGGCAGTGTGTCGTTTGTCTCACTTTATATTTTTCTGCCTTCCCTCTATTGCATGTGAATGCAGCCAACCATCCCGAAATCTTCCTTCCATTATAATTTCATTCACATAGCCTACAGAAAGATAGCCTTCAAATTCTTTCCTTTAATACCCACAAATCTGCCTCAAATTCCTTCCGTTACCTTTAATACACAAGTGTTCTTTCGCATGTGATTCCATTGCAGTCCACAATCCTGAAATGCATCCTTCCTTCCTTTATAATTTCTTAACACCCATACATAATACCCGCAAATTCGTCCTCAAATCCTTCCTACACACAAGTGTTCTTCTTTCCTTTAATACCCACAAAAATCCAGCCCTCAAATTCATCCTTCCTTCTTGTCCGCTCTCTCGCCGTCCTTTTTTAAGCGACTTGCTGATGATACAGAAGACTTGCTTGGATATAAACTGGCACAAATCTGTTTAAAGAAACCATGTGGGACTAATTTCACATGAAATAACTTTGCGTCGGTTGCTGTGTCGTTCCGTAGGATAGGAGGTCACGTGTTCGATCCCCGACGTAGTTATTTTTCTTACGCGCGACCCAGAAAAGGCCTGGCGGGCTATGGGCCCAATACAAATACCTTATTTTTTTTTCTGGCACATGTTGATCGAAGGTTGAGGTGACGTAGGGCTTTTTTGAATCGGATCGAAGGTTGGGATGACGTACGAAACATAACGATGACGGACTAAATTACGGAGGTAAGAAGCAAAAATACAAATTATGTCCAGGATAAATAAAAGTTAATAGATAGATTAATTAAGTGAGTGAGTCAAGCATAAAGAGAAAAAGAAAAAAGAAAAAGAAAGTATCCACACGAATCCTAACGTAAGATTAATGACATAAGATTTAGATGTGCAATACTTATAGCACATCAAGATGGAGAACGCTCCTTTGCGGGCGAGCGCTGAAACGCTCGATCCACAACCTCTCCTCCAGTTAATTCTATTAATTAGTGAATCCAGTCTTTACTTCCTTAAATCTCTATCGCAATAAATTGAACATGTGGGGCCCAGCGTTGCCTTCCATAAGTTTTTCTGCCCCTCCTGATTTCAACGGGGGTGGGGGCAGGTGCGTCCCTTAATTTTTCTGTCGCAGGTTTTTACTTAAAAGGAAGGTTGAGATCCCGTCAAAAAAAAGGAAACTTTGATTTAGATGTACAATACTTATAGCACATCAAGATGGAGAACGCTCCTTTGCGGGCGAGCGCTGAAACGCTCGATCCACAACCTCTCCTCCAGTTAATTCTATTAATTAGTGAATCCAGTCTTTACTTCCTTAAATCTCTATCGCAATAAATTGAACATGTGGGGCCCAGCGTTGCCTTCCATAAGTTTTTCTGCCCCTCCTGATTTCAACGGGGGTGGGGGCAGGTGCGTCCCTTAATTTTTCTGTCACAGGTTTTTACTTAAAAGGAAGGTTGAGATCCCGTCAAAAAAAAGGAAACTTTGATTTACCTGCGTTCGGTTGGAAATCAAGCGCTGGAACGCTCGCGCGCTAAATAGCATGGCCCCATCAAGATATGCTTTAGCAAAACTGATTAATTAAAAGATATAAAATTCCAGCGTTTTACACGTCGACTCGCTCGCTTCTTCTATGTTTTTATAACGCAACGGGCGCCTGCAACGCCTCGTGCTGGGCCGACCCATGTATGGTTGCTCCAGGTTTTTCTTCCTCTATATGTTTTTATAACGCAAAATAGCGAAAGGCCAGGTTTCGAACCTGGGACCTCACTCGTCGTTCCATGCTTGCGTTACCACCCCGCCACACAGCAGGTTTTGGTAAGTTACAACCTTTCCTTTCTTTTATTCTCTTTTATTCTTTTTTTTCTATTTTCCATTTCCCTTTTTAGTTTTCTGTTTTTTTTGTACGAACAGGTTCCCCCTGCATCCTTTTGAATCTGATGAACTTTTTTTTTTCAAATTTGATGAACTATTTTGAAATTCTATGAACCTTTTAAAATTCGGTGAACCTTTTTTCAATTTGGATGAACCTTTTTCAAAATCGATGAATTTTTTTTCCATTTCGATGAACTTTTTTCAATTTTTGAAGAAACTTTTCTAAGCTAATGAACCTTTTCAAAATCAGCAAACTTTTTTCAAATCAGTGAACTGTTTTTTCAAATTTTATGAAAATTTCTATTCAAAATTGATAAATGTTTTGTTCAAAATCGGTAAACTATTTTCATTTCCAAATTTGTGACCTTTTTTCGAAATTTCATGAACTTTATCCTAAATTTTACAAACTTTTTTCAAATTCGTGTAGATTTCCCAAATTCATGATTTTTTTTCAGTTTGTACGAACCTTTTCGATTTAATGAACTTTCTTGAAATTCACGTTTTTTATATTGTGCATTCATTTTTTCTTTTTTCTTTTCATTTTATCATAAATAATACAGGTTGGGTATATAATAAGGACTATTTGTCCTCAGAATAAACAGGGTGGATTGATTGGCCTAGTGGTTGTGTTCGAATTTGACCGCACATGTAGTCAGAGTTCGAATCGTGGCTTTACCACAGTCAAAGGAAAAAAAACCAGGGCGGTCGTATTCTTCGAGGCTCATGGGCGAACTAGAAAAAAGGGCCCATCTATTATTGGCAGAGTAAGGAAATTGTTAGCTTGCGCCGGAGGCCGTGCGGTTCGCCTAGCGTCCAAACGCGTTGGCAGACATGCAACCGGTACATTGGCACGCCGAGCATCGAGCCCCCCGTGCACGGCACCAGGCGCGGGAGGCGGCGGCGGACGTCGGCGAGAGAGCGTCGCATTCTCTGGCGCCCAGTATGGCGCATCAGTCCGGGCGCCACAACCGCATCGTGGTGGACGTCCGCGGCTCGTCCTAGGACGGATGCGTCATCAATTTGACATCCACCGGCATCGTTCGGGTTCCGGGCTCCGACGAGGAAGAGTAGGGCATGGGAGGCGATGATGCCTTAAGTTCCATGAGCCAGCTCGTGTCCCATGCCCTACTCTATGTTGCCGGCGACCGGACCAACACTTTGGGTAGCGCAACTTGCTGCCGGACATGGTCAGGGCGGAGCCCGGCGAGCGAGGAGCGAAACCGGACGAAGCTCCGCTTAAAGATTGCTGCGTTGCATGTAATAACATGGATTCGAGATTTCTAATTTAAGGTACTTGGACGTGGAATGCATTTTTTGAGGCGTGACCGATCCTGTTTCTGTTTGTTGTACATGTAGTACCCATTTCTGTGCCTTGTACCATAGATGCGCAATGTCTCTATAAGCTCTCACAAATGGCCTCAGGTCAAACAAAAGCTAATTATTATTTCTATAAATTATCTAGGTGATGATCTTAGAAGAAAGAAGCATTGCGGAGAAGAATTAACATAGAATGCAACTTTATTATGAGCTCTAGCACACCATTTTGTTTTCACGTTGATGTTATTTTTTTGTGTGTTCCTTGGTGATGTTAGCATGGAATCCTTAACTAGTTCTGTGGCAAGCACTTGTAGAAATTACTTACACCATGGAAATTCTACTATTTAGACCATGGTAATTCTACTAATTAGCATGGCAAGTCCCATTTTTTTTTTGTATTCACCATGGTATTTTTATTGTACATTCCATGGCAAAATAACTCTAACATGCCATTTTCATTTTGCAGAATACCATGGCACACATTGATCATGTGGCACATTTATCAAATTTGGCATGGCAAAACCCTAATTTGGCCATGTTTTTAGTAAAGACAATCCTAATTTTTGTGCCATGATGTGTACCTTTTAAGAGCATGATGGCACATATTCACGTACCCATCATGGTAACTTTTATACACAGTTACCATGCTCTTTTTACTCAACATCATGGCAAAATTATCATTTTGGCTCCCAGGCTCAGATGAGCCCGGGTGTGAACAAAATATCATTCTGGTTATTGTAAGTATGTTTTTTTCTATAAAGTTTGACTTAGGACAAATATAATATGAGAAATAAAAAACAGAGGGAGAATATATTTGTCCGGACTGCATATCATTTTTCACACTCTACCTGAATACATATGCAGAGGGAAATGAATACAACCATGGAAGAACGAGTATGCAGAAACTACATGGAGCTTTGGATCAACTACCATCTGAAACCAAGGAACAACATATACCGCGTGGAAGGTTTCGTGATCGTGGCCTCTGTGTTTATGATCGTCCTTGCCATTGGAGCGCCCAGGCGGCGTTATTCTAAGAGCATAATTATCAGATATGGAGTTGAGGGAGTGATCTTATTGTCCTTTCCACTTCTCTCCTACACACTTGGATTGATGCAGCAGCAGATAATCAAGAACAGCCTTTTCCTAGTGTTGGCGATGTTTCTGGCCATGCTTTATTTTGGGGGTACCATGGCAATATCAGTCCAGAAGTTTGGTGAGAATAGCACGATCAAGCTCACTTGCGAGATTTTTTTGTTCTCTATCTACATGGGCACTGTTTTAGCCAACTTCGGCTATGCTGCTATGGGCTTTCTTGGCCGCACTGGTTTAGTCATGACCTTTATTTCTGTGTGGCCATTGGCAATGAGAATCGTTTACCACTGGGGTGCTGCATACTTAGCAAGCATACCATCGTCAGATAATGGCATCAGGTGGCTGGCCGTCTAGATGAAGCGTGAGCACCAAACCAGCACGTCCTACAACCCCCGCACCATGCAGGGATACAAGTATCCAGTTCTCATACACAATGCAACGGGAAATAGCTATTGTCCAATAACACTTGATAAAATTTGGTGCGACAACATCGGTGTCTTGTCATCTTCCAACAGTCCTCATATCCGTCGCCTCAAAGATCTATGTCTCTCATTTGCCCTGTTCCATCTTGTGGTTCGGCGATACTTCGGCTACAGTTGTCCTGAATCTAAGCTTGACAAGTCTCGTGCTCTTGTTCTTGATGGGCTGCTGCAAACAGAACAAGACTATGAAAGAGCATTCCAAGTGATCGAAGCAGAGCTTGCTTTTCTATATGACTTCTTCTTCACCAAGTATGCTTCCATTATGTATGTCGGTCAGAAGATGTATTGTGCTACCTCACTTGCCATCACAGTAGTCTGTATTGGTGCGGGTACATGGGTTATTATTATTTCAAACAGACAAGTTTCTATTTTGGATGATCTTTTGGTCGAAACCAGCACACAAGACGTTGTCGTAACCATAGCGGCCTTGGGTGGGCTGTCAATATTCGAACTGTTGCAGATATGGTCTTACTGTGCCTCTGACTGGGCGAAGGTATCCTTTGTTTGTAAGTACGCAGCAGATCCATCCTGGCAAGGGAATGCCAATATTGGGAGGCTTCTTTTGCTTCTAGGAAGACCTCACAGATGGCTTCGCTATTGGCGCAACACCATTGGTCAGTACTCGTTCCTTGATTTCTCTAGTTACAGTTGTTGGGATCAGTTGAAGGAATGCTTTCAAAGTAGAAAGACAGGCAGTCCTGTAGAGTTGCCAATGGAGGTGAAGAAGGCAGTCGCACGGGTTATCAAGAACTCAATCAATGGGCATCTATCAAATGGAGCATCGGCGTTGGTGAGACATGGCATGAGTGATGAGCTATGCTGGGCATGTCAGACTGACGATGAATTTACTGTCACACACAGCATACTGGTATGGCATGTCGCGACTGGCTACAGCGAGATCTCCGAAACATTCGCAGGCCCCAATGAAAATGACGTGCATCCAAACCGAGGTGTTGCCACTAGCTTGTCCAAGTATGTTGCATACTTGGTAGCTTGTGCTCCGAAGTTACTACCAGGCCGTCCGATAGTGTCAGAGTGTACACTCGACGAGCTGGAGAAACAAGCAAAAAGAACTCTTTGGGGACTCGTATCGCCAAGGCAGAAGTATGAAAAGCTTAGAGAACTGTACAATGTCGTCGATGAAGTTCCGTCAGATGTAGCTGATGCAACTGCGACAGAGGCAACATCCGCACAACTGTTGAGCAAGGGTGTCAGGCTAGGGAAGTTGTTGGAGAGCTTGGAGAATCACATGATCCGTTGGGAACTATTGGCCGATTTCTGGGCAGAGATGCTGGTGTATATCGCCCCGTCTGATAATGTGGCTGGTCACATTGAACTTCTTGCTGAAGGTGGCGAGTTTGTGACCCACATCTGGGCGCTGCTTATGCATGCTGGCATCCTGGAGCGGCCTGCTACTGCAATACCCTAGATGAAGGAGAGCAAGATGGTCTAAAGGTGATGAAGGAGCTACCCTTGGTCGTCGTATGTCCTTTATGATTTATGTAATCAAGACGTTGTGTTTGTGACGACTCTGCGCTTGTTGATCTAGTGTAAGACTATGATTGTGTGTTGTACTTGCTTTCTGAAACTCTAATATCTCTTGTATGCTTGTACTAGTACATTCTCATATATGGCGTGGTTGTGCATGTGCCATGGGTCTGTTGCATCCGGCTGGAGCAGGATTTTGTGGCTTTTGTAGCACAGCGCTTGTGGCGTTGTGTTGTGAACTTGCTTTCATGGGGGTTATTGTTTTCGTCTCACTAGAGATAATATTTCTCAAAGACATTGCAGGCAAACCATTGTATGGTTGTATCCCTATTCCCTAGTAGTATCAGATGGTTTGGCATCCAGCTAGTTGCTCCAGTTTAGAGCTTCGGCTCATGGACACCTCCTATCCCTGCCCTCCAATATAGCTTTGAGATCCATGCTAGACTACTAACTACGTGAAATTTTCTCTTTTTTGTCTCTTCCACATAAAATAACATATAAACTTCAAACTTTGCAAGGTAGCAAAACATTCTTACTACAATGTGAGAAAAAAACCTAGATTTTTTTGACCGACATAAATATACAAAATGAGATATTCTTTATTCAAAAATGTTATTTTTAGTATTTATGATGCACGAAAAATTTGAATGTTTTTTCCCACATTTTAGTTAGAATGTTTTGTTGTGCTGCAAAGTTTGAAGTTCATATGTTCTTTATGAAAGAAACAAAAAAGATAAATGTTAAATTGTGATCCAAATTCTAGTACCGTATTGGACTAGACGTAGTACATACGGTGTGGGGCTTTTGCGTTGGTACCGACGCGTACGAGTACAACTCGTTTACTTGTCCTAGAAGGACTCCTATGTGTTGCCCCTCATATATACCACATGTAGTCGCACCTCAGACGGTCTGTCGTCTCGTGCTTGTAATACTCTTCCTCATAGTGATTGCGCCTTCGTACGTCCGTAGTTTTCTCACGCAAGGGTTTTTACATAAAAATCCGTGTCTCTCTGTCTCGTTTATTCTCGTTATTATCTAATAAGTGGTATACAGAGCTGAGGTTTCTATACGAGATTTGAGACGAGAGAGTTAGGGTTTCAGTCGCGTGCGCTGCCGCCGCCGCATCGTGCGTTTCGCCGAGTCCGAGACGAGGACTGCCACACGGGTGTTTTATCTGCGGCGTTGCAAGTAATCGAGACCGACAGAAATCTGGAGGCGATCGATCCGCTGGCTGCTCCCCTCGCGTACTGTACGCAGCTTGTACTGGCTTCAAGTCCCGAGGATTCAATCGAAGTTGCTGCTGCTCCACACGTCGAGTTCAAGAGGCGATCTGCTAGGCGTGACGTACTACTAGTACTAGCACCAGTTGCAAGTTGCAGCTTGTCTCTGGTGATCTGATTGATTAAGTACTACTTCAATTAGTACTTGTCCCACGTGAAGCCATCTACTATCAGATATCTGTTCTCTGTCCGGTTGCTACGACCACACCCAGCATACAATATCCAAGTGCTATTTATCTGAATTTTTTGTCTGCTCGGCATATTAAATTCTGTCTAAGAATTTTTTTACAGGCTTGTACTACTTTGTGCACAGTTTGTCGACTCATGGCATCCATGAAGTACGATCTTCCGCCGCTGGACCGTGACACAAGGTTTACCCTATGGCAAGTCAAGATGCGAGCGTTGTTGGCACAGTCCGACTACGATGAAGCACTGGATAGTTTTGGGAAGAATAGAATTCAGGATTGGACTGATGAGGAGAAAAGAATTGATTGTAAGGCTTTGTCACAAATTCAACTCCATTTGCATAATAATATTTTGCAGAAAGTTTTGAGCGAGAAAACTGCCGCCGCTCTATGATTAAAGCTGGAAGGGATTTGCATGACTAAGGATCTCACCAGCAAGATGCATCTGAAGCAAAAATTATTCCTGCACAGGTTACCCGAGGGAGGTAATGTTTTGAATCATATTTCAGAATTTAAAGAGATCATATCTGATTTAGCTGCAATGGAGGTTAAGTATGAAGAGAAAGATACTGCTTTAATGTTACTTTGTTCACTGCCAAGTTCTTATACCAATTTTAGAGACACCATATTATACAGTCGTGATACTCTCACACTTAATGAAGTTTATGAAGCTTTGAACTCTAAGGAGAAGATGAAATTAATGGTGCCTTATGATGGTTCAAGTTCATCCCAAGCCGAGGGATTATCTGTTCGTGACAGGACAAAGGAGAAGAACTCACACAATGGAAACAGAGGCAAAAGTAAGAACGGCCACAGGGGCCGGTCGCAATCCAGAGACAAGAAATATTGCAGGTATTGCAAGAGAGACGGGCATGACATCTCAGGGTGTTTCAAGTTGCAGAACAAGGAAAAGAGAAAAGGTAACAAACAAGGTGACAATTCTGCTAACGTTGCTCGTGATGATAGTTCCGATGATGCTCTTGTCGTTATTGCTGGATGTGCTGAGACCAATGATGAGTGGGTACTTGACACTGCATGCACTTTTCATATATGCCCGCATAGAGATTGGTTTACTACTTTTGATTCCACTTCTGCTGCTGGTTCCATTTTGGGTTTTGATAATTCACCATGCAAGATTGAAGGCATAGGTTCTATTCGAATCAAGATGTTTGATGGCATAATCAGAACTTTGACAGATGTTCGATATATTCCGAAGATGAAGAGAAATCTTATTTCTATGAGTGCCCTTGATGCAAAGGGATACAAGTATTCAGGTGGAGATAGTGTTTTGAAAGTCACCAAAGGTTCCCTTGTTGTGATGAAAGGTGACTTAAGTTCGACCAATGGTCTTTATTACCTTCGAGGTTCTACAGTTTCAGGTAACGCTACTCCAGTTGTTTCAAAGAATTCTGATTGTGATGCTGCTAACCTTTGGCATATGCATCTTGGACATATGAGTGAACTTCGTTTAGCAGAGTTAAATAAGAGAGGTCTTTTTGATGGATATGAACCTGGTAGACTGAAATTTTGTGAGCATTGTATCTTCGGCAAACACAAGAGGGTGAAGTTCAACACTTCGACTCATACAACTGAAGGTATTCTTGATTATGTGCATTCTGATTTATGGGGACCATCTCGCAAGAAGTCTCTAGGTGGTGCTAGTTACATGCTGACTATTATTGATGATTATTCGAGAAAAGTTTGGCCTTATTTCTTGAAGCATAAATATGAAGCATTCTCAACATTTAAGGAGTGGAAGATTATGATTGAAAGACAAACTGAAAAGAAGGTAAAGATACTTCGCACTGATAATGGTATGGAATTCTATTCTAAGCAATTTAAGAATTATTGCAAGTCTGAAGGCATTGTCAGACATTACACCGTTCCTTATACTACTCAACAAAACGGTGTTGCTGAGCGTATGAACAGGACCATTATTTCCAGAGCCCGTTGCATGTTGTCCAATGCAGGTTTGCATAGGCGTTTTTGGGCTGAGGCCGCTTCCACTGCTTGTTATCTCATTAATCCGTCACCATCTATTGCTCTTAATAAGAAAACTCTAATTGAGGTATGGTCTGATTCACCTGCTGATTATTCACAGTTGAGAGTTTTTGGTTGCACTGCTTATGCTCATGTTGATAATGGAAAATTGGAGCCTAGGGCTGTTAAGTGCATCTTTCTTGGTTATAAGTCTGGTGTTAAAGGTTTTAAATTATGGAATTCTGAAACCCAGAAGGTTGTTATTAGCAGAAATGTTATCTTTAATGAATCTGCTATGTTACATGATGTTTCATCTACTAATGTTCCCGTTGAGAGTGAACAGCAGCCTATTGTTCAGGAGCCTACTGTTTAGGTGGAGCATGTTATTGATTCAGGTGATACATCTGGTAATGAAATTGTTGATGCACATGATGAACCCGTCGTTAAGGATGATAATGTCACTCCCACTCCAAATCAGCCTATTGTTCCACCCAGTTGGAATCTTGCACGTGACAAAGTTAGGCGGGGTACTAACAAACCTGACAGGTTAATTGAAGAGTGCAATATTGTTTCTTTTGCTTTATCTGTTGCAGAAGAAATTGAAGGTAATGCTGAGCCTTCTTCATATTCAGAGGCTATTATTTCTAGTGATAGTAATAAGTGGATGACCGCTATGCATGATGAGATGGAATCACTTGAAAAGAATGGCACTTGGGATTTAGTAAGATTACCTAGAGAGAAGAAACCTATTCGTTGCAAGTGGGTTTTCAAGAGGAAAGAAGATGTTTCTCCTAATGATGAGACAAGATATAAAGCAAGGTTAGTTGCTAAAGGTTACAGTCAGATTCCAGGTATTGACTATAACGAAGTCTTTTCTCCTGTTGTGAAGCATAGCTCTATTCGCACTTTACTCAGTATTGTTGCCATGCATGATCTTGAGCTTGAACAATTGGATGTTAAAACTGCATTCTTACATAGAGAATTAGAAGAGGATATTTATATGGAACAACCTGAAGGTTTTGTTATTCCTGGAAAAGAAAAGCTTGTCTGTAAGTTAAAGAAATCTCATTATGGATTGAAGCAATCCCCTAGACAGTGGTACAAGAGATTTGACACCTTTATGCTCTCTCAAGGTTTCAAAAGGTCTAATTATGATAGTTGTGTTTATTTGAAAACTATAAGGTTCAACTATTTATTTGCTTCTTTATGTTGATAATATGCTAATTGCTGGAAAGAGTATGTCACAGATTAATGAACTAAAGAAGCAATTGAGTAATGAATTTGAGATGAAGGATTTGGGTGCAGCAAAGAAAATACTTGGCATGGAAATATCCAGAGATAGACCGTCTGTAAAAGTATATCTAAGTCAGAAGGGATATATTGATAAAGTTCTTCGTCGTTTTAATATGCATAATGCCAAGCCAGTAAGTACTCCGTTAGCTGCACACTTCAAATTATCATCAGCTTTATGTCCTAAGTCAGATGCAGATATTGAG